ACACACACACACACACACACACACACACACCCACACACAGACCAAAATTATAAGCTTGGTCTGAAGGAGGAATCCCTTTGAAATGTTGGGCTGCGGCGGTCGGGTTATTTCTGTTGAGAGACTTCTTCTTCGTCTCAATGTCTGGAGGAAGAGAGCGCTGGGAAAAAGTTAAAATCAGGATGTTTTTTAGAGAACAGACCACAGATATGCAGGATTGTTAGAATCAGATACATGTATTTGTCCCCCCCTGGAGGAACTGGGATTTCTGCCCCACTTTTAAGTAAAAATGCTTGAAAAAATATGAAATAAAATGTAAAAACGTAACATTTAAAGTAAAACTGTGCAAAACATTTTAATAAAAAGGTAAATAGATCATAGAGGTAAGCTAGAATAGAATAGACATTTTTATAAAAGCATAGGAGGTCAAATAATGTAAAAATACCCAATAAATACCTAAGTAAAATAAAATGGTTTAAAAAATATTCATCAATACTTAAAAAGTTCAAGTTAAAAAATGTATTGATACAAATAAATGTATAGCATATAGTAGTGTTTGAGGTTCCACACACACACCAACATGGTTATAAGCTAAGTGTTTCCTGTCCCCCCCCCTCAGTGAAAGAGGAGCCGGACGTCGAGGTGCGGATGGTCAACGGGAAGCCGAAGAAGATCCGTAAACCTCGGACCATTTACTCGAGCTACCAGCTGGCCATGCTGCAGAGACGCTTCCAGAGTGCGCAGTACCTCGCCCTGCCAGAGAGGGCCGAGCTGGCCAATCAGCTGGGGGTCACTCAGACACAGGTCAGGATCAGAAGCATTTAAAAAAGATTATAGATATGTGCTAACCTGTTAAGCCCCATTCCCCCGGGAAAAATCGCAACATCTGCAAGAAACAGCGTCTGAGGGCTTCTTAACATTTAAAAACCTATTAATGTGTCATACCCACTTAACGGGAAGAAACTCAGCTATCAGACGCTTTTAACAATTTTTTGCAAAACGAAACATAAGGGTAATGACAAAGGCTCTGAATTAGCCCTGAGCAAAAAATTGCCAACACACTTAGCACAGAACTCACGTTAAAATACCCCTATTACTTATCGTATCTGCACAAACAAGATATCGACTAGCAAGCTGAGATTCCACAGATTCTACAGGTATTAGTATCATTACCGACCGATCCGAACTCGCGACATGAGAAGCTAAAAAAGACATCACACCACGTAGCATTAGGTAACCAACACAGCAATATGTCTTACCTTGGTCGTTGTCTGGTCAAAAGTGGTCTTCAATGGCATTAAAACGATAAAAACGCTGCTGAAGGAATCCATAGGTTAATCCAATGTGCCTGTGTCACTTTGAAATGATTTCTGATAATCCATCAGCAATAAACCTACTTTTCAGTTTTCCGATTTCAGAGCGTAAAATAGGTTTAGCTTTGGGCAAACTGCGTGTGCATAGCCCCCACTTCACAATGGTAACGTGTGTGTATGTGGAAATTCCTCTTCGATTCTATTGGCTCTAACAGTTCAAAATAGATGTCAATCACCAAAATCGACCAATGGGTTCCACAGAAACGGCAAATACACCCATTTCCACCCAAATGACCCCAGAGGTGGGTTTTTTTTTCTTTTAAACCTCTCTGAAAAGGTCAAATGTCCCTTGTTTTGCGTCAATCTTGATACAGGGTACTTATTATATGTTATAGTTTGGATTCCTAAAGCTTTTAGTCTCCGATCCCATCATTCAAGGGTGGTCACTATAAGTAATGTTTTGTTTTTGGACGGACACAATCATTTACAAATGTTCAATCTGAATTTCCTTTAAAATAAAAAATAAATCGATATTGATTCTGACTCTTCTACATCGAACTCACAGGTTTATTATTGCTTTGAGATAAAGATTATTAATTTACCACTTTTAGAAGTGAAGATATGGTCATTTGTTCTGGGAATGTCATTCTCGAGCCTGAGACCTGAAACACAGGCTCAGGGGTTAAAAGGTTAAAGCGATGTTTTGTGTTCTGTACAAAGCTGGAGCAATATAACCCTGACTTGAGTCAGCTAGAGTCGGGTCAGGGTGGAGAGGGAACAATTATAAATATGTGTTTTAGAGAAAGCTGGGGCAATGAGTCCTTTAACCCTAAAGTGAGTCAGCATTATGAGTCTTCAGACCCTAACGTGAGTCAGCATTATGAGTCTTCAAACCCTAACGTGAGTCAGCATTATGAGTCTTCAAACCCTAACGTGAGTCAGCATTATGAGTCTTCAAACCCTAACGTGAGTCAGCATTATGAGTCTTCAAACCCTAACGTGAGTCAGCATTATGAGTCTTCAAACCCTAACGTGAGTCAGCATTATGAGTCTTCAGACCCTAACGTGAGTCAGCATTATGAGTCTTCAAACCCTAACGTGAGTCAGCATTATGAGTCTTCAAACCCTAACGTGAGTCAGCATTACGAGTCTTCAAACCCAAACATGAGTCAGCATTATTAGTCTTCAAA